TTCCTTGAATATATGATTTATAAAAAATAATGAAGAATAGTATAAGCTTCGCTGGTATAAAGTTTTGTCTCTGTTATCATAATCGATATCATTATTTGATCGACTAATCATCACAATTTTATTGGTTAATTATCACAGGAAATCATGAGTAGATCTGCAAAAATTGACCAATCATATGAATATCTTCCTATGATGGGTAGACCCACGGGTAGACCAACAGGTAGACCCGTGGGTAGACCCGCGGGTCTACCTGTCCAACCCTACCTGGGTCGACACAATCACAACCCGGATACCTGACCCACCCGGGTATACCCGGGTTCAATCACTATTCTTAATGTTTCAAAAAATATTAATATAGAAAGACTTTTTTAAAAATTATTATTAGTTAAAAAGTTATTAAACTTTTGGTGCAAGCAATTATTTTGTGATGTGACTAGATGTCCTGCACTATAGCCTGGATGATACCATTATAAGATTGTACCTGCGGATAAGGTGCAAAGTATGCTCTTCTATAGTTTTCTCTTTTGTTAAACCAGCCTCCTTGATTATAACATCCTACTCTTTCTTCTAACCTAGCACTTTTACGTGCCTCCTGAAGTAAATCTTGGAATTCATCACTTACACCTGAGGTTGGTTTTGGGATCTTTGCTGCTACCTTCCAACCTTCCTCTTCCGCTACCCTAAGAGTGAATGCTCTTAATTTTAGCTGATCTTGTACTTCCTGAATCTTTTTTACAGAGTTCTCTTGAATTGCATCATGAAGCAAGGTATCTGCATCACGGATAGAGTCGTACACATTTTGGTCACGTGGTTTTCTAAAATTCTTTTTCGGAAAGCTTGACTCCACCATATTGCTTTGACCTATATCTTGTGATCCAGTGGTCGAATCAGATCAACTTTGCGCCATTCAATTCATCTCATCAAGATGGATCGAATGGTATAAAAATGATTCGATTCCAATCACTAGACCATGAGATATGAGTGCGCGAGAGGGAAATCAGTAAGTAAAAATTTGGACCCTAAAAAAATCATGATCGGCATTTTGATAATTTCAGTAATAAATTATTGTAT